GATATTAATGTCCTGTTGTATTATTAGCGAAAAAATCCCTATCACAATTTTCATATTTTTCACAAATTAGAAACATTCTTTGCGATCCTATATTCTGAAACAATCATCAGAATTGTAAAATTTATTTTTAAATTAGGAAAATCATTAGAACACTCTAAAATGTCAATATTTTTGTTTTAGAAGTTTTTATTTTTCAATTAGATAGGAAAGTAAGTATATTCAAATTTGTTTAACACAAACATTTAAATTGTATTATTAAATGTATCGGTAAGCAACTTTTGAGAAGTGAAAATTAGAACTTATGCAGTAGTTTAGAAAAAATACACATTTATTTACAAAAATTTTATATTTGTTTCACAAAATGTTAAAACTAATCTCTTAGAATTCAGAAAAAAAAAACAGTTTTTAAATTTTTTTTTCATCACATTTATGGCTATTTTTTACTGATATTAAAACCAGACATAATTTCATGCTTTTGTATTTAGTTTTTATTGTTTATTAGTCTTGAATATAAGTAAAGCTGTAAAAAATAATTCAATTTGCTGTTGCAAAAATGCTGTTTTTCTTGTATTTGAAGAGGGAACACAATTTTTGAATTATGTTATTATAAGTGTAGATAATGAAAATTTTCTATTTTCAGCAAAAACTTTACTGGTGGAGGAAGCATCAAAGCTTCCGGATGTTTTGTCAGTAAATGAAATTTTCAACATTCCACAAGAGGAATTTGAGTTATCGAGAAGTCTTCACCAATTGGCAGATGAAGAAATGGGAGACGATGAGGTTACTGAGGACATTGCCACTCAAATAGAAAGTAGTATTTAGAGTTGTAATCAATTTACACGATTGAATCGTCTAATATTTTATATCATTTCTTGAGACTATTTTATTTCATCGCTTAGATAACTTATACAATATACTTAGAAGGGCTCTTTAATGTAAGATATTTTAAAGCTACAGTTATATAAGTCAGATTGCAGTTTCTATATAATTATAATCAGTGCCGGATTCCCCGTTAGGCCATGGCCTGGGACCCCCATTGATTAGGAGCCCCCTTAAAATGGATTTTTTGAAAATAAATTTAAAAATATTAAGAAAAACAAAAATTTTTTAAAAAAAAATTAATTTTAAATTTATATTAATAGAATACAATAATTTTCTTACATAGTGTTAATCATATTTATTTATTACTTATTTTAGTTGTTTATAAGTATTATTATAGTCTATGTATTATAAAATTTATCAATGTTTTTAAAGTTCAAATTTGTCATTTTGATTTGCGCTCGAAAAAATTGAAGGCAATACTATAGTGAGCTGAGATTTTTTTAAACAAGTAGCAGAGAGTTTCAAAATGTAATTAAATTTTTTCAAAATGTTATGATTATTTTTTAGTTCTTATTTAACAAAATAAAGTAAAATTTAATTTATTATTATTTATTTTAATTTTAAATATGCTTTCTTANATTGCAGCTTTGGCACTAAAAAAAATTGAGCAATTCACCCAGAAAGTAAATTGTGTTTTTTTGTCGTCTGTAAAATATTTGATTATGTGAAGAGTAAATCGTACTGATTAAGCAAGTATTTGGTTATATTATCAATGGTTTGCAGTAGATAATCCAAAAAATAGTTGGAAAATGTAATCTGCATCTCATTCTATTATGTTAAAAGAAAGAAAAACTGATCACTGCAGAAAACGTGGCATTGTTCGAACACTGTACTAACAAAAATTAAACGGTATATGATAAGACATAATTTCATCTGTAAAAGACAATAAGCTAAATTTAGAATTTCTAAATAAAAATCAAAGATAAAGTAAATTCTCCAAAATAATAATTATTGCATTTATCTTTATGGAATCATATTTAGAAATGTCATTAAATTATGTAATGACTTGTAACCATTATGGAAATATTAAAAAGGTTCATATATCCTAATTGATTTATAAAAACTTCATTACCCTATAAAAAAATCACAATAAAATAGAAAGTTCGTATTATCTGTTCGTAAATCTTTAATAATATAATAAAACACAGTCTTTCATTCAAGTAAATGTTAAGTTTAATAATAAAAAAATCTGTTTAAAATATATAATGTATTTGACAAAATAAACAAAAAATCAAGATAAGATGTAAAAATATATATACAATGCATATCAAAATATACCAGTTTAATAATAAAATAGAGATTATAATATGCACATACTAAGTTTATATATACATAAAATGCAGATAAGATAATAAAAAAGTATATACATATAGTTATTAATATTAAAACATATTTAAAGGAAGCAATGAGGATTATATACAAACACATAAAAAAAAATTATTAAAATCTGATAAAATACATTTAAATAATCAAGTTATCAGGCATTCATTAAATTACCCCCTAGATACGACACTATCTTGCCAAGACAACTTATTTTTTGTGAAAAAGTCTTCAAATCCCTCGCGGATATCGCGGACTTTATTTGCATAGCTGTTGGTAGATATACTACCAACAGCATCCCAAGCGCCAGTAACACACTCTTTCCTCCACTTTCCTGGAATTACATTACCATCCACTTCAGTGTCGGCAAAGTTAGCTGGCACATAATATTTTTGAAAGACAGTGGAGTTCCTTTCATTCCTGCTTACAAAGTTGTGCAGACACACTATGGCTTTGACAATATTTTCAACTGTTTTAGTCCCAGCAAGAATCGGTTGTCGCAAAATTCTCCAGCGACTGCTGGTGATTCCAAATGTATTTTCAATCATTCGGCGGGCCCTGCTCAATCTATAGTTAAATGCTGCCCTTGATGGAGTAAGACCTTTTCCTGGGTAAGGCCTCATTATGTGTTTCTTCAAGGGAAAAGCCTCATCGGCCACAAAAACCAATGGCATTGGAGTTGTCCCACCATTTAAACATTTATCAGCTGGGAGGTTTAAACTTCCATCAAGGACAGCTTTCCCAAAGGCCGAATCGCTGAATATGGTGGAATCACCCTGTTTGCCATAAGCTCCAATATCAACATACGTATAGCAGTATGTCGCATCACATACTGCCATTAACACCATACTATAGCTCCCTTTATGATTGTAGTATAACGAGCCGGAGTTTGCAGGAGCTTGGATAACTACGTGCTTTCCATCCAAAGCACCAACACAATTGGGGAAGTCTGTGTATTTTTCAAAGCCTTCTGCTATTTTCGCCCATTCCTCTTCATTAGGCGGTGATAAATAAAGTGGACTCAGACAAGTCCAGATGGCTTGACAAGTCTCTGCGACAATTTTTGATACCGTACTCACGCCAACTCTATGGTTCAAGGCCATACTCTTCATAGAGTCACCACTTGCAAGATATCTGTAAAAAAAGATAATAATGCAAATAAAATTATAATAATAATGCAAAAAATATATTTCAGTTTCCGAATATATAAATACATACACACTCACCCATATATGTATGAGTGTAAATATAGATATGCATGTGTATGTATAGTATGAGTGTATATATATATGCATAACCCAGTCAGTATATGTATGTATATATAAATTTATACATCTTTATTAAAGATAACCTCTGTTTCATTCAAATTTTCATAATTTTTTCGTCACTATTAATTAATAGAANCCAGATGGCTTGACAAGTCTCTGCGACAACTTTTGATACTGTACTCACGCCAACTCTATGGTTCAAGGCCATACTCTTCATAGAGTCACCACTTGCAAGATATCTGTAAAAAAAGATAATAATGCAAATTAAATTATAATAATAATGCATAAAATATATTTCAGTTTCAGAATATATTAATACATACACACTCACCCATATATGTATGAGTGTAAATATAGATATGCATGTGTATGTATAGTATGAGTGTATATACATATGCATAACCCAATGTCAATGTGTATATATCTTTGTGCGTGTGTGTATAACAACTAAAGCCTGAATTCTGGCCGCTTATTGTTTTTAGTAAATTATTAAAAATTTTGAAAGTTTTAATATGAAAGGAAATTATAAAGGGAGCTGGGCTGCTCATAAAAATTAATGCATATGCTTAATCAAACAACAGTTCCACAGAATCAGAGCTAAAGAAAAGTTAATTTTTAATATCAGTTGTTTTAATTCATTATTATTCAAGATATAAAATATATTGAATTAAATATAATCACATTCTTGTCTGAGGGCTTTCGTAGAACTACGAGGCAGGGGAGTTCTTACCGTAGACAAACTATATATATATATATTTGTGTGTGTCTGTTTTTGCAAGTCAGTATATGTATGTACATATAAATTTATACATCTTTATTAAAGATAACCTCTGTTTTATTCAAATTTTCATAATTTTTTCGTCACTATTAATTAATAGAAATAATTTTTATATAGTTTGATTCTTCATTAATCACTTTTTCTTCTATGTATATCCAGACAGTCAAATGTATATCCAGTTTAAAACAAACTACACAACCAACTACTGATTGGTTGTATAGAGAAAAACAAAACATACATTTGGAGTTAACAATTCTAATGAGTTTTTAATGAGCAAAACTAAATTATTTAAAATCATTTGTTATCAAGAATAAAATCAGACAATAGTACTTACCGGAGAGTAATGGAGAGCCTTTCAGATGCTGATATAGATTCTCGGTAGTTGGTGTCACTTTTCGCGATACTTGGTCCAGCAATCGATAACAGAACATCAAATATTTTGGGGTGCATTCTGAAATATTCAAAGTAGCTGTCCAAATCATTCAGTCTCATTTCTCTAATGAGGTTTTCTTCATGTCCCTTTTCTTTTCTATTTTTATTTAAATCCTTAACCCAAACAGTGCGGTTGGAATGCAAAAGATGAGTTAAATAATACCGTCTGGCTAGCAAAACTTTTTTCAAATTTGCTCTTTCCATTTTAATAAAAAGAACTTTTGCACTTTCAAACAAAACAAAAGTGATGAAATGAAACAAGAGATGACGCAGCCGTATCACGTGAGCTGAGTATCTTCGTATCACGTGAGTATCTTCTGAGCGTGCGCGAGAAAAGAAGCAGAGTCGTTGCCAATTACCGGTATGAAAGACCTTGGCAACAGATACGAAGCAACGCAACAGATTTTGATCTACGTTGCCGTTTCGATCGGTGGAGATCCAGCTTAATACTCCCACACTTAATAAGTACATGAACAAGAAAACTAATAGTTTAGGTTTAATATTCGAAATCTAAAGGTATAATTTTTGTTTATATGATATCATTACATATATGTTAGTATGAAGTGGTAAATAAATACATGTACTTGATAACTAAATATTTAATATAACAAAAGTAAATTAGTTAGGACAAAAACAATAGAATATAGCGAATATGGAATATAGCGAACAGAGAAGAACGTCTCTTCTCTTCAAACATCAACATCGTACATTACATCTCGTTACCTATACATCGTAATAATCTCGTTACCAGATCGTCATTGTCTTTTCGTTTATTACAATATAGTCTGGTGATCAGTTATCGCCATCTGGCGGCGTTTATGGTTATGTTCAATTCCATGGCCTTAACGTCTCGGCCTTCCTCAATTGGAGCCGTCCTCGGCTATATCACTATTCAGAAAAATTATTAAGAACTCGTACCACATTCGACATCGTTGATTCGTCAGATGTCCTGAGAACCTGAAAAATACAAAAAACAAATGGAAAGAAAAGTGCATAGAAAAGACTCTTTGCAAAGACCTCAGAATTCGTCGTTGGTCATTTGAACTCGTCGTTGCCTTTTGCTTCGTATTTGATTTTTAAAAAAAATAAGAAAAAAAATGTCACTTTCGGGATTAGTGTCATAATCAGTTCAAGGTGTAGTCATAATTAGTTCAATCACAATTTTGAAGAGAAAAAAAATCACTCTTCATCTGTTGGCCACTTTTTCATAAAGTCTGCTGCTGTCGAAGTGAAGTTTAGACCATCATGTTGTCTAATTTTTTCCACCTCATATCTATCATGTAGTTTGACAGACTTGATTCGGTAAGGTCCGTAGAACTTTGGTCGTAGTTTAAGACCTGTGCCAAATTGGCAATTAGCGCATATTAATAGAGGGAGTTGTTTTCCTTTGTTTTAAGTGTTTCCTTTGCATTTAGTTTGCTTGTCAAATCGCTGTTTGACCGGCTTAATGTGAGTTTTATTTTCTTAAGTTTTTGTTTGAATTTCTTTCCTGAATTGGTTTTATGTATTTCATGTAATTTTTCCTGGACTTATAGAAAACCTTCGGGGTACTGGGAGAGTTTCTTTTGACATTTAATTTTGCCTCTCTCTCACTAGAAAAGGTTTTGTTTTATGGCTTCCGAGGCCCGTACCCCCTGAAGACGTCGGCTTCGGTGGTCATATTTCCATTTTTATTTCCTTCCTTTTCTTTATTTCTATATTTATTCTTTCTTTTGAAAATTCTGCTGCTTTTAAGTGCGTTTCTTTCAAAGAATGTTTTGTCAATTTAGAATTAAATATTTTGTATTCTTTGTCTATTGTTAGAAATTATTTTGAATCATGATCAGAATAAAACTTTATTGGTATTGTAATAAAAATAAATGTATAAATTACTGAGCAGAACAAAACATTTATAAGCCAAAAACTATGTTTTATAATTATATTTCTTTTTAGTCTATGCATGTCCATGGGTATCAACAATGAGGAACAAAAGTGTGCTCTAAAAATTCCAACAAATTGAAACTTTTAGTTCGCTGTTATTGTCATTAATTTTTTATTCTAAATAATTATAAATAATGCTACTTTTATGTCATATTGCATCTTCTCAAATTCACTAACTCGGCCCATAAGTGGCCTCTTTTAATTTAAAGCTACAAAACAATTAGCATTACATAATATAGAACCCAAATTCCATAACAATTCCAAACCTTTTACCTGCTAATTAAAAATAATTTTTAAAAACTAAAATTGATTAAAAAGTTCCAAACTAATTTAAGGGAAAAAAAGTGGTTCAATAATATATTTCATATTTATTTCGGTTTATTGATAAATTATACCTTTTTTATAATGTTTGTATATGTTGTTTTTTTAAGTTCATACCGCAAATAAAAAAATTCCAAGATTGAGAATGTCAATAGTGTTATAGATTTAGGGCTCCATGCAGTCCATGCTGCAGTAATGAACAAAAACTCACAGAAAACATGGTAAATAAAACATACGAAAGTAGATTACAAAAAAATATTAAAACTGAACAATTTTAGTTCGTTAGCCAGTACTTACACCGGCAAAAAAGAAAAGTACCAAATTTTATAATCGGATTCCACCGCAAGAATGCATACAATGTTTATTGACATGAATGTGATTCAGTGAAAATTTAGGTAGTTGTGGAAAAAACTTAAGTCTGATTAAAAATTTAAAAAAAAAAAAAGAAAAATTGCTACACAATTTTTACATTAAAAATGTGTTATAACACAAATAATTTTGTATGTCAATTCATTTATTAGTTTGAATTCCTTAGTGGGAATTTAAATTTAGTTTTATAAATTATAAGTATTTCAATAAATTTAAATTTTTTATTAACATAACTAAATATAAAAGACATTACATAGAATATTTAAAATATGTTGCATAAAAAAAAAGTAACAACTGTCTAAAAATAATAATTAAGGAAAACGTTTTTTTAAAGTCGGAAAGATAGCTTCTTTCCAAAATTTCACACTGTCATTAATAAGTCTTTCGATAAAGTTATAATCATATTCCACTTCAAAGATGCTTACATCATTAGATGTTTCAAAATTTGCATGTGCCACGCAAAACAAACCTTTATCTTTTTCATGCATAAACATTTGCATTTGTATCTGGGCTGCGTGTTTTGGTTTGATTATGCCATCGGCAATGTAGTTTTTCAGAGTAAGAACATTTTATTTCTAGGACATATCCTTCACTCACGCCATCCGCAGATGCTCCAAGAACAGGAAATTTTGGTGACAATTTTATTCCACATTTTTTGAACTTTAAATTTCTCTCTTTTTCGACAACTTTTCTCACTGAGCTCTCTAATACTCGCCCTCTCGCCATGGCTTTTGTGTCCTTGATCTTACGGGCACCCAAAATAGATTCCTGCAACGATCCATCAAGGATGTTACAGTGGCTTGCTTCATGTATCTTCGAAGCAGTGATTCGAGCATGACGTAGTTCGAACCACAAAGGGTTTTTTACTTGCTCTGCAGTACTTATTTTAGCTTCCCTGCACACTGAGTCACTCATCATTAAACTGCAATAGCTTAGAAATTCATCAGGATTAGCATTAAAAAAATCCATTGATAAAAAATGCAGTGATAACTTATCAACTCTTCTCTCATCACGGAAATATCTGGCGATAGCTGTGTCCTCCCTACCCAGCATTTTACTTTGAGTCAATATTGCTTGTAAAAAGGACCCATCATTTGTTGTGTCAGCTCTGTCTTTTGGAGTAGGGATGTCCCTAGCTTTCACAAATTTAAGTTTTGTGCCTACTTCAGACAACTTTGCCTTTTTCCAGTACGATTTGGCTGAAGTAGGAGACGGCTCCTCACTCCGCCTATGCACCCAGGTGATAAGAGACACTGCATGCTTACAGCCTCCTATAAAAATAAGTTGGTTATATTTTAGAATTCAAGCAATGAAAGCACAAAACATTTTCGAATATTAAATTTCATTATAATGACAAAAATAGGGGGAGAATTCCATATCGTGATTTATCGCAACTTCCAGACAGCGGCCTGCAAGAAACTAAAAATAAAAAAAATAAAAAAAAAAAAAAATCACAGAAAAGAACCCATTTGAAGTGTATAACCCATATCCACCCCCAGGGAAATATCAATTTTTTTTTTTTTTTTAAATCCATATAAAATCTATTCGGCACTTTGGCGATTGTAGTCTGCGCGGCAGATCACAATATGGAAATATCGCCCAAAATAGTACTGATTACTTAGTTTGCAAAGGTAGTGTAAAACAAAAGGAAATATTTATTTGGGTATAAAATTCATATTCTATCACTTTCAAAGGAAATGCACTTTTTGCAATAAATTTTGAAAGTGATAATAATTTTCCAAAAATTACAAACTTCGAAACACCTGAACATACAAAGAAAACACATGTTTGCAACAAATTTCTTCAATAAATTGAGAACAATACAATGAAAAGAAATTTGAGAACATACAGGTAAACAGGAGATAGTTGTGAAATACAGTAATCTTCGTTAAAAAATAAAGAGACTTTGCAGGTATTATACACATACAAAAAACAGAATTTAAAAAAAAATTTTGTTGAAACAGTACAAGTTCTGAAACTAGTTCTTATTATCAGCTTGGTTAGAACTTGAAAATTTTAAAAAATTGATCAACTGAATTTTCTCATAAGTCCTAATAGTTCAGGGGTCTGCCCAGGTTTTTCTAAGAGATACCGATTTTGTGAAAATTTAAAAGTATATTATAAAATAAACACCAAAATATGGATTTATTGTTTCCTATGGGATGCAAAAATAAAACTTTAAAAAAAAGTATTTCCTAAAGTTGAATTTGTGAAGGTACAGCTAAACGGTAGTAAATTTGGCCCAGATATACCCCTGGGTAATCAGTGCCCACTAACTGTATTTCTAAAAATAAAAAAAATTACCCAATGATGCAGCACAATCTTTACATTCTGCGAATAAAATCTCCTCGTCTCTCTCATCCACTATTAATTCCACAGAGTATGGTGTTGTTCTCACTTTGTGTTCTGGAGTCACTTTTGCTCTCACAGTGCATATATTTGCCTGTCGCCTGACTTGCACATATCCTATGGCACTGTCTCCATAATTTTCTCGTCCAGATCTTAAAATTTAAATTAAGTTTCATTAGAGCAAAATCTATTTTATTGATATTTAAATTACAATTAAATTAGGTAAAAAGAAAGGCAACAACATATAAACCAACCATTAGGTAATATCAGTCATTATGCATTATATAACCTAACCAACATAAACTACAAATTTAATATATT